CCTGGCTCCCAGCACCAAAAGGGCAAGGAAGTGATTATGTGAACTCAGTTACAGGTAAACTACAGCTCCTTTAAGAAGCTTCAGTGAGCAAACAGAGAATTTTATTAGACAAAAGGACAACACCAAGAAAAGTAACTTTGGAGTACCATAGCACCAGACTGGAGTCTATCAGAGGCTATCTGTACACAGATCCATCTGAAATGTGTCCTCAGATGATACCAGTTACTCAGCAGTATCATGTTATTCTTAAAATATGAAGTTTCAAAGACTTTGGGACCTGTAGAGAATAATATCTAAACTAGAAAAAATACTCTAAGCTTCTTAGGACAGAAGTGAAAGTGGGGTGTGAGTGGACAGATCTGCTCTAAGCATTGGCAGCTCTGTCGGGACACGTCACTGGTTCCTGTACTCCCAAGCAGGGCTCTCCTTCCCTGACTTGCTGGCCCTGCACGGGTGGAGGAGCACTGGCTTGTAGTCGGTTCCCCAGGGCTCATGGCTGGTATGCTCTAGCTGTCTTGTCCCAGGCAAGTCACTTTATCTTCAGGAATCTGCTGCCTCCTCTACAAAACACCACCATTATCTAATACAGAAGCCATCGTTAGGTATGTGCTTCCAGTTACTTATAGCCTCCCTTTTCCTTTCATAAGTTATTCTGATTGCTATGTCCAGTTGTGTTTTAGGTTGTTTTTTTTTTGCCAATACTTAGCAAATGCATATACATATATATGATTTTTGAAATTGTCAGTATCTTAAAAAGCAACATAATTAAATCAAATATTTAATATTTTCCTAACACTGCTTTTTAAAAGTATATTAAATTTTTTATGGAACCAGAGCTCTTTCATGAAATAGCTCAGGTCTCTTTTTCTTTTCTTCTTTGGTAAATATATCTCTAAGCATAATTTTAATAATTAGTAATAAATTCTTAAAAATTAATATACCAAAATCAGTAAAGTTTGAGTATCCAAGACACAGTGCCATGTTCATCTAGAAGCATTGCTGTTTGCTGGGTAGAAGGTGTCTTATTTAGTCTTATATTGCTGTGATGGAGTACCATGACCAAAGGCAACTTGGGGAGGAAAAGGTTTATTTCGCCTTACAGTTAAGGTCTATTATCCAGGGAACTCAGGGCAGGAACCAAAGCAGAGGCCATGGAGGAATGCTGCTTACTGGCTTGCTCCTCACGGCTTGCTCAGCCTATGGTACCCAGCACCATCAGCAGCCCAGGGGTGGCATCACCCACAATGGACTGGGCCCTCCTACATTAATCACAAGTTAAGAAAAAGTGCCAAGCCTTATCCACAGAGCAATCTGGTGGGGGCATTTTCTCAGTTAAGTTCCCTCCTCACCAACTGACCCTAGCTTGTGTCACATTGACATAAACTAGCTGCACAAAGGTAAATGCTGCGGTACTGTCGACATCCTCTTTTTCTGAGGAAGAACTTTGGAGGGAGCTCACTAGTTTATATACCACACAGCTCCCTCTGAGCTCACAGCTCTTTGAGAATTAGCATCCAAGTATCCACACTGGCAACTGGAATCAGGAAGAAAGATGCCATCACAGTCTACCCAGTATCTTACAAGTCAAAACCTTTAATAATTCTTCTACTTTTGCTGAACCATCTGGCAGAACTCAGGGAAGAAATCAGGACCCCAATGTCCTTTAAAAGAATGTTTTCTTTGAAAGAAAAATACCTTAAATTCTAAGAAATCTTAAGTTACCCTTTAACTGCATAGACAGGGAGCAAGTTCTTTTAGAATATTACCTTGCTTTCCTCTTGGATTTTTTTCTTCTGCATGGAATTATCCTCAAACCCCAGCTTGTTTTTGCGATGCCTAAGTGACAGTGCAGCCTGGTCATGCTTTTCTTTACTATGTCATATGTACAGAAGCAATGTTTCAATTGATTACAGCCCTGTCCAGTTCCTGGATGGCACTTTACCACAGAGAGAGCTAATCAACTATTGATGAAATGGAGCCAGAGGGCTGCCTCCTGACTCAGTATCTCAAACCCATAAACACTCTTGCTCTGTACCAGTCTTTAGAAGATTGACATAAAATATCTATCACAATTTATGAAGTAAATTAAAATAGATTTAATCTTTACTAGGCATCCCTACAGCATAAAATTTGTTGGATTTAATTGTTGAATATGTACTCAGAAAATTGGCTAATTACCTTAGGTGGTTGCTTGATGCCTATCAATTTGGATTCCTATGTCAGTTATGACCATCTTTGGCTCACTTCATTTAGAATATCTAAATAACAGGGATGTTCGCTTAAATTGTAACTGCAGGCAGTTCCATTGGGGGACAAGTGGGCACCTATATTCTGATGTTCAGAAGTCATATGGGCCAGTTGTGTATTTATCATAACCATGACAGGCATATGGGCTGTGCAGGAATAGCCTGCGAGTGTGGATATTGCTATTGACCACTACAGAGGGAGAGGGAAGAATGGGAAACAGCTTTAAGTCCATTTCTAAGGTCACCCCTTACTAGAACTGCTGGAATGGCTAGAAAGATGTTGGGATGTTTAAGAAACTGATAAGCCGAGGTGCTAGTGATGATTAAAGAGTAATGGGAATCCTTACACATTACAAGTGTCGATATAAATGGACAACCCCTTTGGAGATCAGTTTTGAAATTTCTTAAAAAGTTCGATCTCAGTCCTCGGGAGTGGCCTTGATCTGGAGGTGGTGGGAATGGGGGGTGGGCTGGGGGGAAGGGGAGGGGGCAGGAAGGGGGAGAACAAGGGAATCTGTGGCTGTTATGTAGAACTGAATAGTATTGTAAAATAAAATAAAAAAATAATAAAAAAAAAAAGTTCAACACAAATTTACAGTGTGGTCAGTATTTAAAGTATAGTTCTCTTCATATTTTCATTGAAAACACACACAAGTAAACTCAGACTTGAACACAAATGTCTATGAAAGTTTTATTGATCATATTCCCAAACTGGAAACACCCAAATATCTACCAACAGAAAATGGATAAACAGTCTAATGTATGTGTTGGGGGGAGGGGAGACTTGTAATGGGAGTAAACTACTACTTAGCAGTCAGACAGGATGAGCTACTAGAGCACACAGCAAGATGGATGAATCTATAAAGAGTCTGCCAAACAAAATAAGGCAGATTCAAAAAGGGTATGTCTTATATGATTCCGTTCCTAGAACTGCGCCAAATGAATCCATCGTGAGAAAATCAGGGAAGTGGCTGTCAAGGCAGAGAATTGAGGGTGGAGATTGCTTGCAAGAGAAAACTTTGCGAAATGATAAAGTTTCCTGTCTTGATTGTAATGATAGTTTCACTGCTGTATCCATTTGACAGACTCCTCAGACTATGTTTGAAATGGGTGTGTTTTATTATGGGAAAATTATATATTAAAAAAAAGTTGACTGGAAAATGAACAGAGGAGAACGGAGGCAGATTGGAGTTGAAGATGACAGGCCGAGGCTGCTCTGTTCTCTGGGCAGCTCCCACCAAAGTTCACAGCCTGCTCTGATTTGGCTCCCAGGATGCCCCACTTTGTCATGCCTTCTAGTGTGAACCAAATATCACTTACGATTAACAAGGTAGCTGCCACTTCCTTAGGGCCCTGAGCCCCTGAAACATCTTTATGGAAGGACAACACAGGATGAGGGAAAGATTCCTCCAGGACCCCTAGTGGACCCTCTCTCCTTTCCCCTTCTTATCCTGCATCTTCTCATCCAGGTTCCTTGCGATCTCAGAGCCACATTCCCTTGAGATCCCTTAAAGGAATAATAAGTAAACAGACATAGAGACAGCCTTCCTTCACAGAACCAAAGTTCAACATTTTTTTAAAATAAATTAGTTCTTCCTTGTGTCAGTGTATCCGCCTGCTCAAGCCCCAGGACCAGACTTCACATGGCCAGAGACCAGCTCCTCTACACCAGGAGGATGGACCTAAATCGTCTCAGCTTCTCGGTGTGCTGGCGTCCCTTGTTTGTACAGAGGCAACAATAGTGTGAGAATTCAGTTAAGCAGTGTGTGAACACCCTTAACCCGGTGGCTGACACGGAGTAAGAAAGTCCCTGAGAGGCTAGAGAGATGGTTCAGTGGTTAAGGGCACTTGTTGCTCTATGAGGAAGGCTGGAGTTTGCATCTCTGCACCTGTACCAGTTGGCTCAGATATTCCTATAACTTCAGCTCCAAGGGATCTGATACCTCCATGGGCACCTGCATGCACATGTGCACAGACACTCACACAGAAACAAAAAAAAAAATTAAAAGAAAAGGGCCAAGTCTGGCACAGTGGTACACACCTTTAATCACAATGCTTGGGAGGCAGAGGCTGGAAGATCCCTGAGCCCTGAGTTCAAGGCCAGAATAAGTTCCAGGATACCCACGGCTACATAGAGAAACCCTGTCTCAGCTCCCCACCCCAAGAAAAGTAGCAACTGAGAACTGCAGATATTATGGGATATTGTCCTGACTGTTCCAATTCTTAGATTTCTAGAGGACATCAGAAAGCATGTTACCAGTTCTGTGTAAGACACCCAAAAACCTGGATCTGGGAGAGCAGAGCTGCCAACCTAAACTAGAACTTCTCCTAAACTATCAGTTCTGTGAATGATGGGCATAGGCACAATTTTAAGTTTGAGCTTTGCATTTGGATTGTGTCATTTCATCAGACACATTCCTGAGAAGCCTCCCAGGTGTGTGGTAACTGTGTAAAACAGACAGAAAAGAGTCCAGCCACACACTACAACTGAGAAATGTCAAAAATTGGATGTTCTGGCAAGCCAAATAGGGAATTAATAATATATTTAGAGTTTCTAATAAAATGCCTGTCAAGCAAGCAACAATATATTATATATACAAAAAATAAATCCTGCCTGGGTATAGTGCTCTTCCCAAGAAGTATACACTGTATCCGTGAAAACAGAATATTTCACCCTAGATGAAATGTCTGTTCCCTAGCATTTCCCATAATGTTGCATTCATTTTTGTATTTTTTTTTACATCCCTTATGTAGCTTCACCAATCTTCCCAGACATCAGTGGGTCAAGCAGGCACCCAAGGCAACCTTCTGCACCTGGCTCATGGCCAAGCATCCACATCTCAAAGTCCCGTGCGACAGGCTTCTTCTTCCTCCTCCTCATCCTCCTCTTCTTCAGCTTTGAGCGTGGGCCAGTTAGTCAGCAGTAAGTATCCTTTCTGGCTCCATCTAATCATGGTAACTGTCTTGCTGCCTATTGCAATCTTCTCTCTCTCTCTCTCTCTCTCTCTCTCTCTCTCTCTCTCTCTCTCTCTC